ATATTTATATTTATAATATTAATAATTTTAATAAACTTCTATTTACTATTATTATTTTTAATTAATTGTAAAATAAATACTATTTCATTTTTTATTTATTTATAACTTATGTCTTACACTGATAATGCTTAATAATAAGAATAGTAATAGTAATAATATTAAAAGAGTAGTTTTTTTTTTTTTTTTTTTTTTTTTTTTTTTTTATTATTTAATTTTATAGATTGTAAGAGTACTTTTTGTACAAAAGGGATTGTGCTGTTTATTATAAATAAATAAATGAAATAAATAATAATAATATTAATAATAATAAACGGGACAATCTCTTTTGTACAAAAGGTATTCTTACAATCTAAGTAGTTAATTAATTATTATAAAAAAATTACTGTGTATATTAATGATAATTAATAGAAAAGTAAAATAAAAGTAAATAAAAAGAGCAACAATAATAATAAAAAAAAATATTAAAATGTAATACACCTAATAAAATTATATTTAAAAAAAACAATAATACAAATAAATGTAATAAAAGAGAAATGAATTCATTAAAAAAAAACTTTTTACGTAAAAAATTAAGATTTTTTAAATTTAGGAAAAGTTTATGTTGTCATATTTGTAAAGTAAAATAAAAATTTGGCATTGTGTGTAAATGAAGACTGTACGTACACGAATAAGTTGACGGATAACTTCTTATATGTCAAGGTCGTTTGCTGCAGCGTCTTCTCACTTATACAAATTATTATTTATTTCCAGTACATTTAGCGCAGCTTCAGTGTACAATATGTACATGAAATTTTGCTATTAAAAATTAAAAATTTCTTTTCTTCATTCTTTTTTTTTTAAATTAAATATTTTTTAAATATACACTTTTAGGTATAATTAGAAAAAGGAGAAAAAAATCAAGAACCAAAAAAAACAGAAATTATGGAGAAGTAGAAAAGAAAAAAGAAACTGATGAGGAGGAGAAAAAAGAAAGAATAGAGAAAAGGAAAAAATATGCGACTAATTAAAAATTTAAAGGATAAATAAAAAAAAGTAAATAAGGAAAGAAAGAAAATGAAGAAAAGAGAGAATAAAGGAAAGAAAGAAAATATAGAATTAAGTAAATAAAGAAAGATAATAAAGAAAAAAGAAAATGAAGAAAGAAAAGAGCGAATAAAAGAAAGAAAATAAAGAAAAGAGAGTGAAAAAATAAAGAAGAAAATAAGAAAGAAAATAAAGAATAAAGTAAATAAGAAAAAAGAAAAGACAATAAGAATAGAAAGAAAATGAAGAAAAGAGAGAATAAAAGATAGAAAGAAAATAAAGAAAAGAGAAAATAAAGGCAAAAAAGAAAATAAAGAAAAGAGAGAATAAAGAAATTAAAGAAAAAATTAAAGAAAGAAATAAAATGAGAAAAAGGGAGAATAAAGGAAAGAAAAAAAATATTGAATTAAGTAAATAAAGAAAGATAATAAAGAAAAAAGAAAATGAAAAGAAAGAAAATGAAGAAAAGAGAGAATGAAGAAAATAAAGAAAAAAGTAAAGAAAGAAAGAAAATGAAGAAAGAAAAGAAAGAATAAAAGAAAGAAAATAAAGAAAAGAGAGAAAAAATAAAGAAGAAAATAAGAAAGAAAATAAAGAATAAAGTAAATAAGAAAAAAGAAAAGACAATAAGAATAGAAAGAAAATGAAGAAAAGAGAGAATAAAAGATAGAAAGAAAATAAAGAAAAGAGAAAATAAAGGCAAAAAAGAAAATAAAGAAAAGAGAGAATAAAGAAAAGAAAGAAAGAAAGAAAATAATGAAATGAGAAAATAAAGGCAAAAAAGAAAATAAAAAAAAGAGAGAATAAAGAAATTAAAGAAAGAAAGAAAATGAGGAAAAGAGAGAATAAAGGAAAGAAAGAAAATATAGAATTAAGTAAATAAAGAAAGATAATAAAGAAAAGAGAAAATGAAAAGAAAGAAAATGAAGAAAAGAGAGAGAAAAAAGAAAGGCGAGAAAGAAAATAAAGAAAAAAAGGACAATGAGAATAGAAAGAAAATGTAGAAAAGAGAGAATAAAGAAAATAAAGAGAAAAGTAAATAAAGAAAGAAAGAAAGAAAGAAAGAAAGAAAAATGAATGGAAAAGAACAAAAAGGAATTAAAAAAAACTTAAAGAGGAAGAAAGAAGAAAAATACAAATAGAAATACATGAAGAAGAAAGAAGAAAAAAAAATTTTCTTAGATAATGAGTTTTATTTATTATTAAAAAATTGACATTTTTATTTAAAATAAATAATCTTTTCATTAACGTCTTTAGAGAGATAGTCTCATTGTCATGTAATTAGTATTTTTCAATGCACCGTGACATTTCTCATGTGAAGATTTCCTCCTCAAGAAAGTAAAGTCGAATGACACGTAACCAATTATTGCTGCACTTACATCAATGCTTATGTTAATTAGGCATTTATTTACACTTAAGGTGGTATTGGTGCTGCCCCTTCAGACCAGGCAATCATCTTTACACCCCTGTTTGTCAGATTTTCAAAACTTAAGGCGCACTTTTCTATTATTAATATTATTTTTTTAATAAATATTATTATTATTGTTAATATTTTCATTATTATTATTTTTATTTATTGTTCCTGCTTTTGTTTTTATCGTTATTCTTTATTGTTATTTATTGCTATTGTTTTTGTCATTATTCTTATTCTAATTAATTTTTACTGTTATTCCTACTATTGTTATTGTTATTCTAATTATTATGTCTTATTTTTCTTTTTATTCTTGTTTTCATCATTATTTATTGTTTTCCTTACTATTGTTGTTGTAATAATTATGTATTATTTTTCTTAAAATTGTTATTCTAATTATTATTATTTATTGTTGTTCTTACTATTGTTATTGTTGTTATTGTTATTCTAATTATTATTATTAACCGTTTTTTTTTTTTTTTTTTTTTTTTTTTTTTTTTTTTTTTTTTTTTTTTTTTTTTTTTTTTTTAAGAAATTATTATTATTTATTGTTGTTATTAATTAATTAGTTGAATTAATTAAATAATTTAACTAAGTAATTAGTTAAATTAATTAATTAATTAAACTAATTAAATAGTTAAATTAATTAATTAATCAATTATATTGTCTAATTAATTAATTAAATTGTCAAATCAATTAATATGAATATTTTTTTTCTATTTTTTCTTATTTCAAAAACATAAAATTTTCTCATACACTTGTATTTTACCAATATCCAAATATCGGACCTTGAAATTAATTTATTCCACCTTTTTTCGAATTCTCGTTTTAAGAAATATTGATGAGAGAGGAAAATATTTCGTATTAAGTTCGTCGTTTTTGTCTACTCATACTTTTTAGTAAGTCAATAATATATCGAATTTCCATGATGTATGTTACGTTCATTAATTTTTTTTTCCATATTATAATTATACGAGAAATTTAAAAAATCAATTTTTTTTTGAAATTTTTCTATTCGATCGAATAATAATACGACATGATGTAAAGATTATAATTAATTGCTCAAGAAAAAGGTTAGGGCCAATGTATTTAAATAAAATATCGGCAGAGTGATAAATCACAATTTCTTAATAATGGTCACAATTATATAATTTATTTATTATATTTATTTATATAATTATTTATTTAATTTTTTTTTATTATAATAAATAAGAGAATTGTAATAATTTTTTTAGTTTTAAAAATATAGTAGAAATTAGTCAAATTCGTAAACTAATTTGTCAATTAGTTGAATTTAACTAATTTTTACTAAAATATTCTTTGTAGAAAACGTTAAGTTTACTAACTTTTGCTATAAATTTTCTTTTTGGAAAAGTTTTTACTAATTTATTACTAAAATTTTTTCTAAAATCTGTTAAATTATTTTTTGCTAAAATTCTTTATGAAATTAGTAAAAATATTGGTAATTTTTTTTTTTTTTTGGAGAAAAGTTTCTACTAATTTTTTGCTAAAATTTATTTTTAAATTTCTCTAATTGACTAATTTCTGCTGAAATTTTTTTTTTCAGAATTAATTAAGTTGCAAAATTAATTTTATTTCTAAAATTTGTTGTGAAATTATTTAAATTTACTAAGTTTTGCTAAAATTCTTTGTAGAAAACGTTAAATTTAAAAAAAAACTTTTTGCTAAATTTTTTTGAGGGAAAGATTTTTACTAATATTTTGCTAAAATTCATTGTGAAAAAGATTTTTTCACGAATTTTTGCTAAAATTCGTTTGGGAAAAGTTTTTTTTTTTACAAATTTTTGCTAAAATTCGTTGTGGAAAAGATTTTTACTAATTTTTTACAAAAATTCATTTAAAAATTCTAAAAAGAATTAAAAAAAAATTTTAATACAAAATAAACAAAAATAAATTCTAAAATTGAAAACTATTTAAAAAATACTAGTTTTGCTTTAAATTTATCAACTTGTTATTGTCTTTGAACAATTTATTATAATTTTTCAATATCATTATTCTTATGTTCCCTCTCATTTAATAAAACGCGCGCCGCGCTTACACACAATTTAGTCGCATTATTATACCACGAATCATTTTGTAGAATGCAAATTATTTTACGTTTAAATAAATTAAATACACCTTCTCCTTCTTTTTTTTCATCTCTCGCTCCTTCACAAGAGTTGTTCCACCTTTATATTTAAATACATATATGAAGATGAGTTTTTATCTTATTAGTCATTCTGTTTCCTCGTAAAAGAATCGTAATCTTCCAATCAGGTAAATAAAGTCTCACTGACTGCATAATGTATAATGTATCTTCAGTCCTTCTCAGAAGTACTTCATTAAAAAAAAAGAATGAAAACTATTACAACATATTCATTCTGTTGTATTTCGAAAAAAAGAACAAAATATCTTCTTTTAAAAAAATTTCAGTTAAAGAATTTTTCCAAAAAAAGTCAGTTATAGAATTTTTATCAAGAAAAACGAATTTTTATTTATGAATTTTTTTTGTAAGAAATTATTAAAAATTTATCAATTGATTTTGAAAGCAGGAAAAGAGAACAATATTTGTTTTCTATTAATTATATTTTTTTCATAGTTTCAATATACAAAACGTATTAAATATATATATAAAAAAAAAGATTTACAAAGTCTGAGGTAGAAAAAGTAGAAAAATTGTTTGTACATTTTGGCACGAGTTCACTCAATTATACAAGAAAAAAAATTAGTTGACACAACATTCAACATCACTCACAAATATTTCCCTTTATTTTTGATTTTTTGTTTTAGATGAAAAAAAAATTTTCTTTACAAGAATATCAAAAAAATACTACAAGTATTTCAAGTACTACAAGTACTACAAGTACTGCAAGTACTACAAGTACTACAAGTATTTAAAATACTACAAGTACTACAAGTATTTCAAATACTACAAGTACTACAAGTACTACAAGTATTTCAAATACTACAAGTACTACAAGTAGTTTAAGTACTACAAATAGTACATGTACTACAAGTAGTTACAGTATTTAAAGTACTACTAATATTTTAAGTACTACAAAAGCTACAAGTAACCTGAGTACTACAAAGAGTCTGAGTACTACAGGTAGTTTAAGTACTACAAATACTACAAGTTGTTTAAGTAGCATGAGTACTACAAATAATACAAGTACTACAAATACTACAAGTAGTTACAGTATTTAAAGTACTACCAATATTTTAAGTACTACAAATGCTACAAGTAGCCTGAGTACTACAAAGAGTCTGAGTACTACAAGTAGTTTAAGTACTACAAATACTACAAGTTGTTTAAGTAGCATGAGTACTACAAATAATACAAGTACTACAAATACTACAAGTTGTTAAAGTATTTAAAGAACGACAAATAGTTTATGTACTACAAATACTACAAGTAGTTTGAGTACTACAAGTTTAAGTAGTATTAGCACTACAAATAATACAAGTACTACAAGTAGTACAAGTTGTTTAAGTAGTATAAGTACTACAAGTACTTTGAGTACTACAAATACTACAAGTATTTTAAGTACTACAAGTAATAAAAATATTACAGTGCTAAAAGTAATTAAAAAACTTTAGTACTACAAGTAATTCAAATATTTCAGTACCAGTAGCACTAAAAATCGACTAAAAATAGTGAAGTACTGTAACTGAAAATACTAAAATACCGCCAGTAAAAAAAATACTGTAGTAATAAAAGTACTGATAATAATGAAAGTACTGATGTACTTTTCCGTATTGTCAATACATAAGTACAAAAGTACTACAAGTACTGAGAATACAGAAGTAATACAAGTACTGCAAGTACTTTAGAAGTAGTAAAAGTACCGCAAGTAGTACAAGTACCATAAGTACTATAAATACTGAAGTACCGAAAACACAATGCAAGTACTAAAAATACCTAAAAACCCACTGTACTAAAGTACTGAAAAAAGTACTCAAGTAAAATAGTCCAAAAAGCACTAAAATCCGGGAAACACTCCACCATTCAGAACACAGACATTTCCAAAAAAAAAAAAATTGTTTCACTTTGCTGTTTTTACTTGGTCAACTGATCTTCCTCGGGATGAGCGGCAATCCACTCGAGTGCCCTGAGAATTGCAGCGGGCACTTCCGGTGATTTTGGCAAATGATCGCCCTGAGGTTGGAAGCCATTCTCGTCGGCGGTGTAGGTCAATGAAATTGGACTACCGTCGTCGGCGGTGTAGCTGTAGCTGCCCTGCGCCGCGATTCCACTCTCCTCGCCAATTTGTCTCAATTCACCGCGCTCCTCGGCCTTAATTCCATTCTCAGTCTCATAGCTGTAGGCATAGGAGCCATCTGGATTTGGTCCATCGGCACTGCTGCGTAAAATTGCAATTGGCTCTGGTTTATCGTCAATTGGAGCGGCCGCCGCTAATACGACTAATGCCGAAATCACCGAAGCTATTAAGAATTTCTGCGAAAACAATTATTTTGTTATTGTTTTTTCTTTTTATTCTTGCTTTTTTTGGTTTTTCTTGTTTTTTTTTGTTTTTGTTTGTTTGTTTTTTTTTGTTTCCTCGAAAAAATGAAGTAGAAGAAGAAGAAAAAATAATAGTAGAAAAATAAAAAATAGAAAGTAGAAAAAAGTGAAAGAAATAAAAATTCGTAGAAGTAGAAAAAAAAGTAGAAAAAGGATAAAAATAAAAATATGCAGAAGTAGAAAAAGGAAAAAATAGAAAGTAGAAAAAGGAAAAGAAATAAAAATTCGTAGAAGTAGAAAAAAATAAAAAGTAGATAAAGGATAAAAATAAAAATACCCAGAAGTAGAAAAAGAAAAAAAAATAGAAAGTAGGAAAAGGATAAAAAATAAAAATACCCAGAAGTAGAAAAAGAAAAAAAGGAAAGTAGAAAAAGGATAAAAATAAAAATACGAAAGAGTAGAAAAAGAAGTGAAAGAATTAGTGATTAAAAAAGAAAGAAAAAGTAAAGTGAAGGGAAAAGGTAGAAGAAACGCCGGAAAATTAGAAAATCAAGAGGAAAAAAGTAGAAAATAAGGAGATAGAAGTAGAAATTAACGAGAGAAGTAGAAAATCGAAAAAGTAGAAAATAAAGAGAAAGAAGAACAAATTTAAAAAAATAATAGAAAAATAATAGAATATGAAGAAAAAGAAGTAGAAAAAGGAAAAAGTAGAAAATAAAAAAGAGTAGAATAAGTAGAAAATAAAGAGAAAGAAGGACAAATCAATGAAAAATTATAAAATATGAAGAAAAAGAAGTAGAAAAAGTAGAAAAAGAAGTTGAAATTAAAGAAAAAAGTAGAAATGAAGTAGAAAAGTAGAAAATGAAGAAAAAAAGTAGAAATTAAAGGGAAAAAGTAGAAAGTAGAAATGAAGTAGAAATTATGAGGGAAAAGTAGAAAGTAGAAATGAAATAGAAAAAGTAGAAAAACTAGACAATAGAAAAAGGGACGAAAAATAGAAAATGAACAGAAAGAGGGATAAATTAAAGAAAAATAATAGAATATGAAGAAACAGAAGTAGAAAAGAAGTAGAAAAAGTAGAAAATGAAGAAAAAATGTAGAAAATGAAGAAAAAAAGTAGAAATTAAAGGGAAAAAGATAAAAATTTAAAAAAAGTAGAAATTAAAAGGGAAAGTAGAAACTAAAGAAAATGAAGTAGAACATAAGTGGAAAAAGTAGAAAATAAAGTAGAAATTAAAGGAAAATAGTTTAAAAAAAAATGTCATGCACCGAAAACTGAGAATCTCTCAGCAGCAAAAACGCAACATTTTAACGAAAAGTAAACATTGTTATTGAAAAAAAACGAAAGACATTGAAAACAAATGCAATATATGTAAAATTTTGTTTGAGAAAGATGAAATATTGATGAAAGAGAAATTTGCATTACGCAAATCTTTACCGAATGGTAAAAAAGAAAAGTTTTTTTTTTCTTTTTTTTAGTGAATTGAAGAGAAGACGAGACGAATTTTTTTTTTAAGTGCACGAGACGAAAGGATAATTATTATTGTGTGTAAGATTTTAAACGAAAGTATATAGAGGATGTTGTCATAGAGCAGAGGTGAGAAGATTTTAATTCACAATTTTTTATCTTTTTTGATTCTTTCATTCACACTCTCCATATATAGCCTTGTGTTCTGGTCTTGATTGAAAAAAAAAAAAAAAAAAATAATAATAATAATAATAATAATAATAATATTAATAATGATAAACATCCATTTAATTTTTATTTACAATCTTTTGGAATAATTTGATTTTTGAAAATTTTTTTTTTCCAAAGAAGAAGAAGCAAACAAACAAAGGAAACAAATTAAAAATAAAAGAGAAACAAGAAACGAACAGAACAAACGAAAAAATATAAAATGTAAAATAAAAAAGCGACAAAAAAAGGAAAAAGTAGAAATAGTAAAGAAAAAAGAGGAAAAAGTAGAAAATGAAGAGGTAGAAATAGAGAAAGAAGTTGAAGAAGATAGAGAAGATAGAAAAGAAAGAGAGAAAAAAGTAGAATAAGAAGTAGAAAAATAAGAAGAAAAAGTAGAAAAAAAAGTAGAAAAAAGTAGAATAAGAAGTAGAAAAATAAGAAGAAAAAGTAGAAAAAAAGAAGTAGAAAAAAAGTAGAATAAGAAGTAGAAAAATAAGAAGAAAAAGTAGAAAAAAAGAAGTAGAAAAAAAGTAGAATAAGAAGTAGAAAAATAAAAAGTAAAAAAATAGAAAAAGGAAAAGTAGAAAATAAAGAGGAAGAATAAGATAAAAATAAAAGTAGAAAAAAAATAAATGAGATAAAAGTAAAAGTAGAAAAGAGATAAATGATAAAAGAGAATGATAAAAGAAAAAGTAAAAGTGTAGAAAAAGAGAAAGAGAAGTAGAAAAAGAAGAGTAAGAGGTAGAAAAAAATAAACGCGAAGAAGATATGGAAGTAGAAAAATAAGGGAAATAAGTAGAAAATTGAAGAAAGAAGTAGAAAAGGAGTAAAAAGAAGTAGAAGTAGAAAAAGGGAAAATTGAAATAAAAGTAGAAGAAGAGAATTAAAAAGAAGTAGAAAAAATGAACAAGAATAGAAAAGTAGAATCTTCTTTCTCCTACTTTTCTACTTTTCTATTCTTGTTCATTTTTCCTACTTCTTCTTAATTCTCTTTTTCGTTATTTTCTTGTTCATTGTAGAAGTAGAAAAATAGGAGAAAAAAGATAATGAAGAAGTAGAAAAATAGGAGAAAAAGCGGAAAAATAGAAAAACGATAAAGTAGAAAAGGAAAAAAATAAAAAAAAGAGAAAAAAATGTCAAAAGGGAAAAAAGAGGTAAAAAAGAAGAAAAGAGTGGAAGTAGAAAAAAATGAAGAAGAAGAAGAAAAAAAGAAAACGAAGAAGAAGGAGAAAAGAGTGGAAAAAGAAAAAAAGAAGAAAACGAAGAAGAAGGAGAAAAGAGTGGAAAAAGAAAAAAAAAGAAGAAAACGAAGAAGAAGAAGAAGGAGAGAAGAGTGGAAGTAGAAAAAAATGAAGGAGAAGAAAAAAAAGAAGAATAAGAAAACGAAGAAGAAGGAGAAAAGAGTGAAAGTAGAAAAAATGAAGGAGAAGAAGAAGAAAAAGAAGAAGGAGAAGATATAGAAGTAAAAATAAATAAGAAGTAGAAAAAGAAACCGCAAAAGTAGAAAAAGAGAAAAAAAGAATAAAAGAAACGGGAGAAAAAAAGAAAATAAAGAAGGAAAGAAAAAATAAAAAAAAAATTCTCGACTTTTTCAATGATTGGTCCAGATGATTAGTGAACGTGTTTTTGAATTTTTTGATGATGAGCACTCACCATGTTTTCAGTGCTGACCACGATTGTCGTCTTGATGTAAACTCGTCGAGTAGGTCCCCTTTTATATTGTTGCCGAAACCTTGTAGGTGCTAGGACCTCCCTCTCGACTGATATTTGGCTCTAGGAGGCAACACTTTCTGACCATCTCATTACAACTAGACAAAGACGGCGCTAATTTCCACAAAAAAAAGACGAGGACCGAAGAGCAAGAATTCTCAATTATTTCCTCTGTTTATACGGGAGAAAAGAGCAAAAACCTTTCTCTCAAAATTATTATTCTCACGTTTTATCATTGGTTTTCATTTCTGATTCCGTTTTCTTTCTTGTTTCTTTATTTTTTCTTCGATTTTTCTTTTTTTGTTAATTCCATCTTCCTTCTCTGTTTCTTTATTTTTTCAATTCTTTATTTTCTTCTTTCTTTCCTTTCTTTCTTTCTTGTTTCTTTTTTTCTTCCTTCTTTGTTTCTTCATTTTTTCCATTCTTTATTTTTTCTTTCTTTTCTTTCTTTACCTTCTTCTTTTTCTCTACGCTTGTTTTCTTTCTTTCTTTCTATCTTTCTTTCTTTATTATTTGTTTTTTCCTTCTTTATTTCTTTTTCTTTGCCTTTTTTTCTTTGTAATTTCGTTCCTTCTTCTTGTTTCTTTTTTTCCTTCCTTGCTTGTTTTCTTGCTTTCTTCTTTACTTCTTCATTTCTTTTTTTTATTTGCTTCTTTATTTATTTATTTATTATTTTTATTTTTTAACAAGTAAACAAACAAAAAAAAAATAAATAAATAAAAAAATTAGTAAATAAACAAGTAAATAAAAAACAATAAAATAAATAAAATAAATAAAATAAAAGAATAATAAAAAAGTAAATAAATTAGAAAAAATAGTAATTAAATAAAAAAGTAAGTAAATAAATATTTCATTAAATAAGTAAACAAATTACTAAATAAATAAAGAAGTAAGTAAACAAATAAATTAATATGCAAATAAATAGATAAAGAAAAAAAGTTAATATAATCAAATAAATTAATATTTTCCCTATTCGAAAAGAAAAGAATTACAGTTTTATTTTCGAAAATTTTGAAGAAGAAAAAATTATTGATCAAGGTGAATAAATAAGAAAATAAAAATATAATTTTTAAATATATTGAATTAAATGATTTGATATTGTTTAATAATTTTGATGTAATAATAATAATGATAATAATTATAATAATTGTAATAACAAAATATAAAATATTTAATAGCGCACTAAAATAAGGACAATTTTCAAGTAGACAAATGACAAAAAATAAATAATATATATGTTAATTCAGCTTCTTAGGATTTCAAAAATACTTGTAAGATAATAATTTAGGTTTACCTTAACCTTATATACATATATAGATACATGTTTCCCAAAATGTTGTCATCTAAATCTATTTAAAGAAAGAAAAAAACAGGTTTCAAGTACATATTATAGAGATTTGTTTATTACAAATTTAATATATTTCCAATCGCCTTCTCTCTTTGTTAAAAAGAAAATTTTCTTTTTGAAAAAAAAACAAGAAAAATTTTCAATTTAAAAAAAGAAGAAAAATTTTGAATTTAAAAAAAAGAAGAAAAAAAGAGAAACTAGAAAATAGAAAATTAAGAGGTACAGTAGAAAACAGAGAGAAAGAAGTAGAAAATTAGGAGAAACGAAATGTAAAATGAAGTAGAATAGAAATTCGTAGAAGAAGAAAATGAATTGAGATAAGTAGGAAAAGTAGAAAGTATAAAGTAGAAAAAGGAAACAGTAGAAAATAAAAAAGAGTAAAAAAAGTAGAAAATAAAAAGAAAGAAGGATAAATTAAGGAAGAATAATAGAATAAGAAGAAAGAGAAGTAGAAATTAAGTAGAAAATATACAAAGAAGAATGTAGAAAAACGAAAAGGTAGAAAATAAAAAAGAGGAAAAGTAGAAAATACAAAGAAGGAGGGATATATTAAAGAAAAATAATAGAATAAGAAGAAAGAAAAGTAGAAAAAGTAGAAAAAGTAGAAAAACGAAAAAGTAGAAAATAAAAAAGAGGAAAAGTAGAAAATACAAGGAAAGAAGGATAAATTAAGCAAAAATAATAAAAAAAGAAGTAGAAATGAAGTATAAAAAGTAGTAATTGAAGAAAATAAAGTAGAAAAAGAATTAATAAAAAAAAGTAGAAAGTGAATAAAAAAGTAGAAAACTTAACAACACAATTGGAAATTAAGGAGAAAAAGCCGATAATTAATAGAAAAAAAGTAGAAAATAAAGAGGAAGAAGTAGAAAAAGAGAAAAAAGAAGAAAAGGATAATTTTAAAGAAAAAGTAGAAAATTAAGAGGTAAAGTGGAAAGCAGATAAAGCAGTTAAAGAAAAATAATGGAGTATGAAGAAAAAGAAGTAGAAATAAAGTAGAAAAGGTAGAAAGTTGAAAAACGAAAAAATAAAAATTAAAGAGTTAGAAGAATAAGTTGAAGAAAAATATTAGAATATCAAGAAAAAAGTAGAAATGAAGTAGAAAAGTAGAAAGTAGAAAAAGGAAACAGTAGAAAATAAAAAAAGATTAGAATAAGTAGAAAATAAAGAGAAACAATGACAAATTAAAGAAAAATAATAGAATATGAAGAAAAAGAAGTATAAATAAAGGAGAAAATATAGAAAATGAAGAAAAAGACGTAGAAATGAAGTAGAAAAAGTAGAAAATAAAGAAAAGGTAGAAATTAAAGGAAAAAAGTAAAAAAGTAGAAAAAGTAGAAAATAAAGAAAAGTAGAAATTAAAGGAAAAAGTAAAAAGTAGAAAATAGGGAAAAGTAAAAATTAAAGGGAAAACAGTAGAAAGTAGAAATGAAGTAGAAAATGTGGAAAATAAAGAACAAGAAGTAGAAATTAAGGCGAAAAAGTAAGAAATAAAGGAAAAGAAGTCGAAATTAAAATGAAGAAAGTAGAAAATGAAGAAAACGAGAAAGAGAAAGGAAAAAAAATTAAAATGAAGAAGAAAGTTAATGAAAAAAGTAAACAGATAGAGAAAGAAAGAAGAAAAAAAAGAAAAAGAAATAAAGAGGAGAGAAAGAATAAAAAACGAAGAAGAAAGAAAAAAAAGAAAACGAAACAAAAAAGAAAAAAAGATAAAAGAAGATAAAGAAGGAAAAAATAAAAAAAAAACTATAAAAACTGAATCATTCATAAATATCGAAACACGCGTAGTTTTTTTTTCTTCTCTTAATCTCCCGTCATCAATAAAAGTGACCTCAGGAAAAGGACATTTGGTGGACATTCACTATATAGCAGAGAGATGATTCTCTTTCTTTTTTTTTTCCTTCTCTTGCAAAAAAAGAAAATAAATTTTAATTCTTTAATTTTCGTAAGCTTCACGTTACCAAATCCTGATGTAATTTAAGAAAAAAAAAAATTTTTTTATATACATATACATATGTATTATATAGATATTGCGAGCTCAAAATTTATGTATGTGTAGCGTGTGCGTAAGTGCTGTATGGGATTATTTCTTGGTCCACTTTGAAAGAAAGAAAAGAAAGGAAGAAAAAAATTGTACATTCATATACAGCTCATCTTATCCACGTGGTTACAAATGTCTATATGTCATATATGATTTAATGCTCACATCGTAAAAAATTAATATTACGCTCATTTTTTTTTTTTTTTTTTTTTTTTTTTTAATCCCCCCCTTCTCATTGAAAATTGAAATCTTTAAGGGTTATATGGTAATACATTGTGACATCATTCTCATTTGTTTAATTTTTCATTATTTTTATTTCATTTGCAATCAGAATTCAAGTCAGGGAAAATTTTTTTTTTTTTTTTTTTTTTTTTTATTTAGAACAATTTTAAAATTGTTCTATTCTATTTTTAAAATTTTCTATTTATTTATTAATTATTAATTTACTATTTATTTATTAAGTTATTATTTATCTATTTAATTGTTTGTTATAAATTTTATTTATTTAAATAAAAAAATTTTTAACAAAAAAAAAAAATTTATTTAATTATTAAATAAATAAAAAGTAAAATTTATTTATTTATTGAATAAAAACAAAAGTAAAATTTATTTATTTATTAAATAAAAACAAAAGTAAAATTTATTTTGTTTATTAAATAAATAAAAAATTTAAATAAAAAATAAAATTCATTTATTTATTATGTAAATAAAAAAAATGAAACAATAAAAACGAAAAAAAAAATTGTTCAATCAATTAAATTCAAATTATTATTTAACTTGCAAGGTAAATTATTCACTGAATTTTCTATATAATATTTAATTATGACATTGAAATAGAAATCGTTCAACTCAATGTTGTATATATATATTTTAATTTCTATAGAAATGATCATAAATGAATAATTTCAATTAAATGAAAGAAAATGATGAAAAAATTTTCATTTTTTCACGTGTGAATTTCAAATTAAAATAAAAAGGAAAAGAAGTCTATAAACTTTCTTTAAATTAATTGAAAGAGAAAAAAATCTCACCTTATAAATTATTACGCCAATAATTATTGCATTTTTTTGTTAATGAATTTCTATGAATACATGAATTGAATTAATTGAAAATTTTTTTTTGTTCTTTTTTTCTACTTTTTTTATAACTATTTTGCTGAAATAATTTCGAAATGAAAAAAAGCTAAAAAAATTTAATTTGTAAGCAAATAAAGAAAATTAATTAATTAATTATTATTTTTTTTTAATTGAATTGAATTGAATTGAATTGAATTAATTAATAAAAAAGTAAATAATTGCGAGTAAATAAAATAATTAAGTAAATAAATATTTATTTTGATAAAATGCAACTTTTTCGACTCTTTTTAAAGGTTGAACCAAAGCATCAAAAAATGTTTTTTTTCTCAAAAAAAAAAAAAAAAAAAAAAAATTGATAAACTTAAAATGCCCTTGAATTTTTTTTATGCTCGTAAAGTGTAAAAAATTAATTGCGAATCAAAGTGACATAAATAATAGTAAATCTACGCGAGGTTCAAATTAGAATACCTTATTGGTAACTAACTAGCAGAAAAAAGGAATTGTTCTTGAAATTCTTTTATTTCATTTTTAATCATTCATTGCCTTTTGTTATAAAAGACAATATTGGAGTGAGTCAATTATTACCCAGTTAAACATCAA